TACCAAGGCAAGTGTCGATGATCAGATCACCAGTTTGTCAAAACATGCTGCTAAGATCAGATTGGATGGCAGTTTCGATGGAGGTCATAAAACACATGGAAAAGATAAATCGGATCGTGCGACGAGTGAACAAGTTTTGGATCCTCGTACACGTATGATTTTACTTCAAATGATCAATAGAGGTATTGTTTCCGAAGTCAACGGATGTTTAAGTACGGGTAAGGAAGCGAACGTATATGGGGCCTTGTCAATTCCTTCGACAGACGCAGATTCACAACCAATTCACCGGGCTATTAAGGTCTACAAGACTAGTATCTTGGTCTTTAAGGATCGTGATCGTTATGTTACTGGTGAACATAGATTCAGATCAGGATACAATAAAGGAAATAACAGAGCTATGGTCAAAGTCTGGGCTGAGAAAGAGTTCCGAAATTTAAAACGTCTACATTTGGCTGGAATTCCTTGTCCAGAACCTGTCCATCTACGTCTACATGTCCTTGTCATGGGGTTCCTAGGTGATAAGAAGGGATGGGCCGCACCAAGACTTCGAGATGTAGAGCTCTCTGGTGATGACGTCGATGAACAGTATCGATTGCTCTACCTACAACTCATTGGACTCATGCGAAGAATGTACCAAACGTGTAAACTTGTTCACGCAGATTTGAGTGAGTATAACGTTTTATACCACCAGAAAAAACTTTTCATTATCGATGTTTCTCAAAGTGTTGAGCACGACCATCCTCGTTCATTGGAATTCCTCCGAATGGATATCAAGAACGTATCCGATTTCTTCAAGCGCAAGAATGTCGAAGTCCTATCCGAACAGACCATTTACCAATTTATCACTTTCCACGATGGACCGACCCAGGAGCCAGGACTCAGTGAAGCGCTTGAGAAACTACTTCTTGAAAGACCTGAAGAAGATGAAACTGAAGAAGCTGTCGCCAAACGACAAGTAGAAAATGAAGTTTACCGTCAACAATACATACCACAAACTCTAGAGCAAGTCTACGATTTCGAGCGCGATGCTGAGAAAGTAGGAAAGGGTGAACGAGGCGACCTTGTGTATCGAAATTTGTTGGCTGCGGATAAAATGCCTATGTCTTCGGGCAACGAGGCGGATGCAGAGGATACGATGGGCGACGGTACTAGCCAGGCCAGTGATGATGATGATGAAGATGCGGATGGTGACGAAGATGGAGAGGATGGAGATGATGACGATGACGAGAAGCGATTCGAGAAGGGTACACCGAGAGGGAAGAGATTCGAGGACAAAGATGCTAAGAAGGTATGTTCATTTCGAATATTTGTTTTCCTATTCGCCTGTCTACCCTTGAAACCCCTATCATGGAATGATGACCCAATTTCCATCCACAAAACATGACCTCCCTTCTGGGACCAGATTACAAATCACGAGAACTTTATGTCTGACCACCACTCAATTATCTCCATTAATTTGCTTCATGTCATATTTATTGGATGCTAACACTATTTCCCAACAATAGGAACACAAGAAAGCAGTCAAAGAAGAAAAACGTGAAAAGAGAAAAGACAAAATTCCCAAACATCTCAAGAAGAAACTTGTGAGCTCGACGGCAAAACATAAGCACTAGTTTTAAAGTCGAAAAATTAAATCCAAATAAAAAATTATTGCATCAAAACATTCGATCGCCGGCTTCTTGACATGATAGTAAACGGTAAGTACTCATTATATTTGTCTAGCTTCCTCCTCCCAAGGATGCAGAGAAATCTTCAAAACGAACACCCGGATGAAGAAACAAACATCACTTCTCCCGACCCAATGCATCGGAGTAGTGTCTTGCCAAGGGGTTTCCTTCGGCAAAACCTCTTTGGTGTATGGGTCACACTACCGGAGAAGCTGAGATACTTCTACTTTCAACGAGAGTAGGAGATATGCTGATCAAAGAGAGCACTGACGGGTGTTCTGTTTACGGAGTTTGTTTTTTTCCTTGCTATTCAATTTGTTGGGAAGAGATACCTAAGAGAAACAATGTGAAAGTGTCAGTTGATGAGCTTAGGGAGAAAAACTTTCTCGTATGATGACATCACAATGTAGCGAAATCAAGTAGAGAACAAAATATACTATCTGTGTATATGCATATGTATTCATTCGCTATACCCTAATGTTTGCTATCTGAAACTGTGATTCTACAACTTACAATTCCTGGAAAGGCCGTGGCCATATAATGTGAACTCCCTGTAAAAAACGCAAAACCATGGTTCATTATGAAATCATCCATCCCCATTATATCCACAATCCTGACCATCCGTGCATCCAACCATCGCATACATAACATCGTATCGTATTTCGTCCAAAGATTTGCTTTCCATTTACCTCCATCCGTCCCAGACCAATTCATACAGGCATCGCATCCCGATCATTCCTCACTCGTCAGATCGTTTACTCCCTTCTATATCCCCCATTTCTTTTCTTCCTTCTATCTTCTGTATAATCCGTTTCGTTTCCACCTCTCTCACTACTCAAGCCCGGAATAAAGCAAGGATAACTCTTATGTCCAGTATCCCCACTAACCTCACTATCCTCCCTCACACTACTCAACTCGCTTCCACCGACACTCGACTCAGCAGCGGAATAAGCAGGTGGAGCCAAATGTGATTGATCTCTGCTTTGCTTTCTAGCCTCGCGCCTAGCACGTCTCGCCTCTCGTTCACGACGCTCTTGGTCTCTTATTGCGGCTGCGTCACGAGATGAAATGAGGGAAGATGCGGCTGCGGAACTATTATCGTCACCAACGCGGAAACTGAAATCTCTACGTTGAGCTGCGCGTCCCTTGTCTTGAAGTTTCTTGGCTTCTGCTTTGATTCTCTCATCATCCGTTACGCTTGAATCGGCCTCGCTCTGTCTTGAACTCTTCTTGGTTGTATTTTGCCTGTTCCAGAAAGTCGAGCTTCCACCATTATCCTTTGTCGAAGTAGCAACACGTGGGCCTTGAACCGTTCCGATAACCTTTCGAATTTTGTAGTGATCTTTGTTGTTACTCTTCTTTGGCCTCTCGGGGGCACGTTCAGGAGATCTCTCGCGGTTTTGCATAAGTCCATCAGAAACAGTTGAGCCTTCAGGGTTTGTAGATCCTTCCCAAATACTAGATTCGCTTTCTCTGTTCATGCCGCCAACTCGTGCTGGTTTCTCATGACGGTATGCTCGAAGGTCTGCGATATCGTCGCCGTATTCGGATTCAGGTACATCACCCAAGTCACCACCGCGGAGTCTGCTCTTCTTATTCTTCTTTTCCTTTCGTGGATAATTGACCTCACTCATCTCGCTGTAAGTGACCTCACTTTGTGTACCTAGTGAACTCTCTTCCTCATCATAGTCCTTGTATCTCGATCTCTCCATACCACTTCCACCCCTCTTACTCTTTTTATTCTTCCTTCCCCATGTGCTCCTCTTCTTTTCTCCGTGAACAATACTACCACCTCCAAGATCCGTAGCCTCTGAAGCTCCAGAGAGAGTAGTACCATTGGGACCTTTGCGCCTCAAGACCGTAGACTTATAATCATCCCAATCATTTTCGTGAAAGACAAATCCACCATTTTTAGCGATGAAAAAGAACCAGATACCAGTGATAACAAAGCCAGCGCCAATCAGTCCAATAACTATGAAGACGAATTTGTTAGGAACAGTGTCGAAAGGTGTAACACCACTGGAGGGATCAACTGTGGGGACTACATCGCGTGCGGAGAGAGCTTTGGAGATGATGTTTGGTGCGGAAGAAACGATGTCGGAAGATGGAGATGAAGAAGCAACGGCGGTACGTTTGAGGAGAGGAGAGACGTAAGAGGAGATAACAGGCATGATTGATATATTTTCGCAAGAAGTGCCGTGATTTGGGTTGGTATTCGAAGATGATGAAGTTGTATTTACTTCAACATCCAACTAAGTACAGCCTCGTACCATCAGCAGTGATAAAGGGTTATCGTAAATTGAAATATTCGTCAATTGAGCTTCACGAAGTAAAAAAATTACCGGAACGAATTGGTAAGACTTGAAAGACTCTGTCAAAAAGTTCCTGTGTTGGATAGCATTGCCAACTCACGTTCCTTGGAATAAATTACGAGGCTGGGGAAAAAGCGGGAGGCTGGTTATTGTCGTTTGTTTACACAGCAACCAGGCACGTGCTTAAATCTATTTTTGGTTGTGGTTCTCGCTTCTAGGCCCTTGTGAAAGATCTAGACAAACCTTGGAACAATGAATCACATCAAATTCATTTGAGTTGGCCTTGCGTGCATATGCACACAATATATGAGAGCACTAGGAAAGTCTAATTGTTTAGGGCTGAATGTGGAACGATGAAGTGCTTGATAGTTCTAGTGGATCGTCAACCCAATGCTCGTTTTGGTCTAATCTTTCTCCGTCCCAAATCTCCCGAATATCCCGTCCAAAGTATCTAGTCTCGATCTGTAAAATTGAGATCTATAAGAAAGTACAAAGATTTTCAAGAGAGGGCTTGTAGGCCTTCTATGCCCTTAGTGTAATGTACTTAGTGTGTCATTTTCAGAAACCTCCTCGCGCTGAAGTCACTGCGCATGCCTCTCTTTTGCCTTTCTCTGAAAGTCCATAAAAGAACACAACAATAGTATTCTATGAAAATATGTCAGAAGTAGCCCTGTCTTTCTCTATCAAAAGCTATTTTCTATGACTGAGTGCACCATATCAGGCTCCTAGATGCAGCCACCCGCTTGAAAGGCTCAATCGACAACGAATCATGGCTCACGATGGCTCAACTCGGAAACTTTGATACCGGGGAAAGGTGCGTTGCATATTTTATGGAGCGGTTTTTCCTGGATTCATGGTGGCTTGTCGTCCAATTATATACAAAACGTAGTCTTCTGAGTCAACGAGCCCCGGGTTACACAGGCACCCCAAAATCTCCAAACAGTTATTCTGTCCCTCTCTTTCCATCTCTTCCTTTGTCGCCGTCTCAAATGTAGTTTGTGTCTGTAGCATTTACTTCGCAATGGATGTCATAGCACATTTTTTGCGTCATGAAAAGGTGAGTATTTCTCTGCGTCCCAAATTCTATGTCAGAAGTCAGACCAAGAACATCTTCAGATCTAAGAAATCACTTTTAGGGTGAACACAAAGCCCAAGGATTCAGCACAGATCAGCTCGCTCTTATTCACGATCCAGATCTGACGGCAGAGGGCCGTTCAGATTGCCAGATATTCTCGAACAATTTCTCGGATAGCAAATATATCACACACATCTGGTGTTCGCCCATGACAAGAACGATCCGTACGGCACTTTTATGCTTCCAAAGTGTCATAGCTAGGGGCGTTAAAGTTGAAGCTTGGGACATACTCCAGAATTGGGATACTTCGCCGAACGGTAAAGGAATGGACAAAGAGTGTCTACGCAAACATTTTGGCGAAGAAGTAGACTTCGATAAAGTTAAAGAAGGGTGGAATGATAAATCTTCTGGTGAATGGACATCGAAAAATCAGAAATCGAACATCCCTGCTTTAAAACTCGCGCTTAATGACTTACGATCGACTACCAACATGGTCGAAGTCGTGATAGTCAGTCATGGAAGTGTGCTCAGAGAGCTGACCAATAGGAGGGGTAAGTTGCGTGCCAAATCAAATCAAGCACACAAAAGCTAATGGAACGCGAACCTAGGAGCTTGGCGATCTGGCGAAGTTCGCAGCTATTTAATTGGTGATAATGGGGAACCTGGCTTCTTACTGGATAAGAATGACCTCGAAGTTCGTAGATGCCACCCCGTGAATCAAAACATGATACCGACATCAGATCGGGTCCAGCCCGAACCGTTGGGCCCTTCAAGTCTCGTGGAGACCTTGACACATAAGCCTTCTGAATCTTCCGAGAAAGCCCCTGCAGTAAAAATAAAAGTGGTTATTCAAATCGTTGCAAAGGACACCTCAAAAAATACCAAGGAGAAGATACTGAGAGCTTCGAAGAGATGTGAGACTCACGTAGATACATTATTCAAGCTTTTTCAGGAGGAACTTCCGCCAACCAAAGTCGAGGGGGAGGATATTGAGGGCGTCAAAGCACGACCAACAATTAGATCGAAGCAAGGTCCGATAACGACCCAGGCGAGTAAGATACCAATAGCAATTGGGAGAATGAGCCATCGTGATATTGTTAGAAAGACACCTTTGAAAGCAGCGTAGGCCAGGTGCATTCTATCAATGAATCATTCGTGGATTTTCTGAAAATCTTGTGTCCGGAGCTTGCGGAAATGTCAACTTCGAAGAAAATAGTTGTCGGTAAGCATAAGTGATAGGAAAAGACTCAAAACTGGTAGCTCATGTGATAAGATTGGTAAAGAGGCTATGGAATTAGACTTTCAAAACATCAAACAAAGAAAACAGTGGTTTATTTTCAATCATATTCTAGTCTAATTCACATATTTTTCAAGAGCCATTCCGATTCGCGAAGCACTCTTATCAATTTCACTAATAACGGATTTCAGAAGGCATAGCAACTCTAATATTCTCACATTCGTATTCTCATCACCCGACGTCCTGGCATTTCCATAAGTGTGCCCTTTAAATATTGAACGATCACAATAAGATCTCCAACCCAAGTCCGGAAAATTAATGTTACTACCATGTCTCATGTTGAATCACTTTCGCCTCCCTTATTCTCTTACCTGAGCACCATTTACTGCACAGCAATTATCCAATTCTCAATCTCTTGGAAAGATACCCTAAACGTGCCAAGTTAAACTTCCTACCCCGCCCCTAAACCCTCGCTAAAAACATTTCTTTGTTAATCTCAACCATTTTTAACCGTGCTTTTGGATGTATACTGTAGAAAATGTGTATTAATGCAAAAACCCCATGATATACATCACATCATTCCTCTTCGTGATGCCACACAAGATTAGCCGATTAATCATATATGCCTTACCTCAACTACGCAATAGCCCCTCCGAAGAAATGCCATCCCACTGACAACAATAACCCATTCCCACTCAAGACAGCCCAAACCCTTCACAATCACACAATCCATTTTTTTCATCCTCATGACTTCACCCAAGCCATCTAATAGGTCAAACGCACCGAGTATTCCCCTCTGCTTACGCTTACACATCTCACACGCCATCCCGGGATTTATCCTCAAGCTAATGCTCCCCAACAGTCAACACCCGAGAACTGTTGCATATCTGATTTTTCGCCCGATAATTGTCCTCGGTTTAGCTTCGCTATATCACGTTCAAGATGACATGTTGAGGATTTGGTTGCACGTCTGAGTTTCGTGCCGACTTCGGGACGGTCTTCGGTACTGTTGTCGGTACTGTTTTCGGGGGTTTGGATGGGGAATTTAGTTTGTGGTTGGATATTCGCTTGATAGAAATTTGATGCGTTTTACGAACGAATTTGATGAGAACTCGGGGTAGGTCTTCTATTGTCTTTTGCTTCTTCTTGATTGACTGCTATTTGATGGCTAGTATCTGTGTATTATTCTTATACTCTATATAAGTTTTATTATACATTCTACTTATACATCGCATATTCTTTCAATACTGCATGCTACATATCTCTTTGCGTTGTTCAACAGATGATCGATTGCAAAGATCTCTCTCTCTTATAGTTCATATAATTTCAAAAAATTTAACATCTCAAAAGATACATATATCTCTTTGCGTTGTTCAACATACAAAGATCTCTCTCTTACAGTCCATAGAATTCCAAAATTCTCACCATCTCGAGAGATGCATCTATGTTAAAAGCTCAAAACCTACATCTAACATCGCACAAACAATGAGTATATATATTCCATGCTATATAACCACTTCACATTCACAACAACTCCAAATACCAATCCTTTCCAACCTCCAACTTCAAACCGCCACCAGACTCAACCTCTCGCGGATCGAAATCCACTGCAGAAAGACCTACAACCGCCGCGACACCTCTCAAAACTCCTCCTCGATTACCAAACTCCTCAAAAAAGGAAGAAAAAATGAGGGAACCCCGTAAATGATTGAAACTCAACTGAGTAACGAGTGAATTGAGTATTCCTCTCCTAGATCCACAAATCCCTCTCTTCCCTACATAAAAAATTCCTCCTCTATTCACTCACCTTTCCACTTCACTTCACCAAATTCCCCTCCCCCAAAAATCCAAAAAATCCCCCCCCCCCAAAAAAAATCGACACCACAGAGATTCGAACTCTGGCTCCCAAAGGAAACGCCTGTACGATAGCTGTCCAACCAATCTCCTCATCAAATACCAAATACCAAATACCAATTGCCGATTACCAGCTACCAATTACCGCTACCGGGATGAGGGGACGTACCAGGAAGTCCAAGCTAGTAGCAGGGCGTCGCGTTAACCACTCCGCCATAGTGCCTTTTTTGATACATTAAGTGAGGTGATTTAGAGTTGTATGGGGATGAAGCTAGTGGGTTGAGGGTGAATTCATTCTTGGGGGCGGGAACGGGATGGGATGTATGTAAAAGGATTGGAAAGTGAATATCACCTTGAACCTACCAATCTTCACCGCATCACCTACAAACCGAAGCAAATACCCATACCCATACCCATACCCATACCCATATCCATATCCATATCCATATCCATATCCATATCCATATCCATATCCATACCCATACCCATACCCATAATCGACATCTCATCATCCCTCCCAAACCACCAAACCACCAACCAACACTCAGATAACAAACCCAATCCCTCCCCAAAACCCCCCTTCAGTTTCACATCTCACAAACCCGAAATTACATAAATCTAAAGCAATCATTCACCGCCCGAATGCAAACCCTCAAACCCAATTCGTGAGGTTCATACCCTCATACTTCATTGATCCCATCAACCAGGAAATACTGGGTACCTAGATAGTGCTGAGAAAGAATCCTTAGAATACCACCATCCACCTATCTATATAATCAAGGGAAAGAGACACGCATACGTGTTCCCTCCTTCCCACGCGCTCAATACGCGCAGAGTGCTTTAAGCAAACGGCATTGCGTCGCATCACAACCCAAAGAACATATATACAACACCAAAATCCAGAGACTTCTCCGTTAAGCGCCGAAACACTACTTGTCTAGCATCCGAGAAGAAATAACCAATACTCAATCTCGCATAGGGGTATCGACTTGACAATACAGTCACTTCACCAAGTTCAACTTCACTGCAAGGACCCAACAACTAGGAAATACAAAGGGGTATCATATTTTAAAACTATCCTAAAGCTATCTAAAGCTACCCTAAAGCTTATAATCCACAATCAATCAATCCAATCTTAAAGGTTCTTGAAATAATTCTGATAGATAGACGAGTCCCCACTAACATTAAAGGAGACCCAATCTATCCATCCATTTTCCGTCCCCCCCATCCTTTTCATATATCATACCAAACAGACCATGTACCAGCCATGTACGCCAACTCTTACAAACATCTCTGTCGATAATTCATATCTTACATGCTGCCATTGCTAGCAAATGTGCATGCATCTGTAGTTCATCCCAATCCCAATACTTTCAATCAAAAATCAAAAAGGTAATCGCCAAAGTGAAGATAAGAGACATGAAAAAAGAGATTCATAACCATAGCTCATACAAGTCGTACATTCATCATATTGAAACATTTCCATTTCCACCATAAGGAAAGAAAAACAAACAGAAAAAGTGCTCTCAAGTGCTTTTGGGGTATAAACTTTTTCCGCTTTTCTGAAAAAAACCAAAGAAGAGGAGAAAGTAATGACCACTTAACAATATGCACAGAGAAGAAAGGTGTTTAAAAAAAGAAATCCAAAAAGAAATGATATGAAATCGCCATAAACATCATGTCGCTAAATCGAATATCCAAGAAAAGAATCACTTAAAGGAAGTAAAATATGATACGTAAAAGATTTAAAGCCAAGTGGAAGTAGTTGAGGTCTCCCAGTTGGAATTGCGAGATTCATAGTCCCTAGCAGTGCGAGTGTCATAGTCTTTGACAGTGCGAGATTCGTAGTCTCTGGCAGTGCGAGATTCATAGTCCTTGGCAGTGCGAGCTTCATAGTCCTCACGGCGTTCGCGAGGTGCTCTGTCCCGCTCTTGAGGTCGAGGTGAGACTCGGGTGTATGAATGTTGTGATCTCATGCGCGATCGGGCTGATTGACTGTCACTCCGGTCATGTCGGCTTCGGCGTTCACGATCATCAAGTAATTTAGGTCCGTGTCCATGTCCATATTCCGATGCAGTTGCTTGGCTTCCGTCATGAATTATTTTTTCTGTGCGGTGAATCTGGATTTTTCCTCCTTCTTCGCATTGAATTTCAGCTCCACCAACTGTGACTTTAGCTTGACCAGTGACCTCGATTGTAACATTATCATCGCCACCACTTCGGGTCGTACGAGTAGTCTGTGTGCCTCGATAATCACTAAGGTCATGACTTCCACTGCTCTTTGTGCTTCTACTACTACCTCCAGCCTGTCTTCGTTGTTCCTTTTTCAATGCCTCAGCAGTGAGAGGTATAGTTGGACCACTGACTTCCTCGAGATAATCGGCTGCCGCAGAAAGTTTTGCGTTATAGCCAGTTGATCCCGTAGTAGACGCTTGAGTGGATGAGGCAGATGTAGATTGTCCATAGTAGCTTTGTCGGCGTCTGTTTTTACTAGCAGTCTCAAGTCTGAATCTCTCTGCTTCCCGGGGTAGTTCGCTCACATCATATGAAACTGAGTTTCGATGAGGACTTGGTCGGCGAGGACGAGGTGCTTGACGAGGAGGTTCGTCATGGTACTCTTCAACGCTGTATTGGGAAAGCGTGTCGTCGTATACTGGTACATCAACTGTTGGTCGTCGCATAGTAGGTTTAGGTGGTGGTGGCATAGCCTGAGAGTCTCTTCTGCCTCTACTGCTCTTGCTCTTGTTGTAACTGGTTTCCACTTCGCTATAGTTACTTTCGCGACTGCGCGAGCTGTCTGCCTTGCTATAGTTACTCTCCGATACAGCAGAGCTGTTAGTCCGTGAAGGGATCCCAGATGGTACACGTATGCTACTGGTGATGGTTCTCCCGACTGGCTCTTCAATAGAAGATTCGTAGCTATCATCGTAATCATCTTCGCTGTACTGGTACTCTCGCTCATAGCCTCCTGTGATCATTCGAGGTGTTTGGACTGGCTCAGGTCGAATGCCATATTGAGAGGCCCTTTGTTGAGG